TTTTGATTTATTTTGTAGAGCAAGGTATTTTTTTCCTTGATCCGTGTGTGCACTTGGGGTTGTTTTAAATTTTAGTGGTCCTTTGTATTATAGACACATTCAGCTTAGAGGAGTTTACTCTGCACCTGACTTTGGAGCAGTATGAGAAATGTTGCAAGGCAGATATTTTAGCTAATATCAGAGTCACCTAACCTGAGCTCTTTCAAATCTATAGACTCAAAACTTGAAGAAACACGCCCGAAGAAGGCTCAACAGCTGAAACATTGTGTCTCTTTTCTTTTCAGCATGGAATAACCTGTTCCTAGACTCAAAACCTTATTTTCAGAAGGCCTTTTATTTAAAAAAAAAACAGACTTCATGACTTAAGTGCATTATAGCACTGGCGTTTTTAAGGTAGAGGAGTGACGTACCATATTATGTTACATTTTATTACATATTTGAGAGATTTCAGAATGTTTCAACTGCTGCATTTCTTTATGCAATGCTTGCTGTGGTAAAAAAGCTATTGAGCACAAAAGAATTGGAGATGTAGTTTATTCTTATCTGAGTAAAGAGAAGCTGAACCCAATACCTACATAAGATTTAGAATTGTAAAGGATTTTGAGATTGTGTTATTCTGCTTTATACTGTAAGGTCAGGAGTTTTTCATACATAACTTTTGGATAATAATTCTTAGTATTATGAACTTGCTCACAACAGTTCTGCTTTATTCAAGCCTGTGCATAATTGCGCTTAAATTAAAAAAACTAAAAAAAAGGTTTCTAAAAATGCAAACAGGTACTAGATGTTTAAATAAAATGCCTGTGGTTTGAAGGTTGTGTGTGTTTTGTTATTTATGCAAATTTATTGACATCAGAAACATTGTCTCCCAAAAACAGGCATTTAATAAGAAGGCAACAGTTGTGAAAAGTCACAAACCACCCTGAACAGAATACATGCAGTTTGAAATTATTTATTATTAATAAATTAATGTGTTAATAATTTTCAGAGACATTACTATACTCCAGTTTCAGTGGTCTTTTTAATACCACTTTGTTATTCTAGATTATAGTAATAATATATCACTAGATATTTCATTTTAAGGCTTATTGTTACTCCCGCCATTGACAGTATTTATGTTTGCTAACTCATTCAATTTTAAATGTATTAATATAATTTTAAAATTTAATGTGTTGTGATACATAAAAATGATAGAAATGACAATATTGTGCACATATTTATTACTATTAAATTTTTAGAGAAGTAGTCATAATTTGTTAGAAATAAACTCTGACCAGAAATTGAACACGGGACCTCTTGTGTGACAGGTGTGCAGCTGTACCCCTGTACCAAAGTGTTGTTCAGTAACACAGCTGAAACAGACCCATCAAAATATTTTCAAAATAACCACATGTAAAGAAATTGAAGAAAGAAATTGATGCAGATCTTAATGAAGAAAGTGGAATATGGTACTACTATTGACAATATAAGTATATTATATTTAGATCCACAGTTGAAAAACTATTTTTACTTTCAGCTACCAAATTTTCTTTTGCTACATGATTCCATATTAATGTTACTGATCCATATTAAGTGGATTTTAAAAAGTACTACGACTAATTTTTTACAATAATAAGGAAAGCAAGTATTCATAGAAACTGTTAAAACATATAGCTTATAGCTTTAAAAGATGTAATCTAGTCAGGACAAACACATCAAAACGTTTCTAAAATAACCACAGTTAATGACAGAGTTAAAGACTTTTTGATGCAGAAAATGTTTATGAAGAAGGTGGAATACTGTTGTGTATTTTTTTATTTTTAGCTACCATTACCAGCCATATATTGGATGTATAATTTACTTATATTCCTACAGTAAATTAATATTGTTTAAGGTGTTCAGATATATGTTTATGTTAATTACATGCTCGGCTACCAACATTTCCCTTTAGTACGTCACGTTGCAGTTCGAAGCACCGTCCAATAAACTTAAAAGCATTCCCTACTACATAAGCAGAAACAATGTATCTGAACACTACAGATTCTACTCATTTTACTGCTGCCACCATCAGTCACATCACCAATACAGATGAGTGATACAGTTCCTGGGGTGGCCATGAGGGCACCAGGCTTCAGAATGTGCTCAGAAACCAGGGGTCAGGGAAAGTTTTGAAATTTTAAGGACAGATGAGGCAGAGACAAACATTTGCAGTACCAATGTGCGGACAATTAAAGTATGGTGAAAGAAAGAGGCTACAGATGCTCTGAAGAACACTACCTCATCTGTGAAGCGCAAGGGATGTAATGATCTTGGCGTGCATGACCACCTCTGGACTCTGGAACAGCAGCAGCACTAACAGTCATGCCAATAAGCTGCTCACTTCATACAAGTTTCAACTTAGACCTGATTTTTCTGCTTAAAACAAAGCATGCCTCTATGCTTAGATCATAATGCATTTTTTTTAAATAGGGCTTTGTCTTGAAAACAAACATTAGATGACATTGCGAAACAATAAAAGAAACAGCAAATTCTTTGTTGCCTCTATATCCCTCTACAGTTTCCATTCTTATAGCTCATACTAGGGTGTTAAGGCCTTGCAGTGCTGGGGCTCTGGGTTCAATTTTGGACCTGGGGGTTATTTGTGTAGAGTTTGTATGTTCTCCCTGTGTTTATGTGGTTTTCCTCTATGTGCTCCAGTTTCCTCCAACAATCCAAAGGCATACTGGTAAGTTAATATGGCTTCTGGAAAAGACAAAAACTACTTTGATAACCAGAACATTCTCTGCACAGCTGTTCTTGAAAGTAACGGAAAGGCATTGAAATTCTTATTTTCTTACCAGACACCCTTAACCAGAATAAATCACAGTGGTTATAAGATTGTACATTAAACATAAGTGAAAAAATAGATAGAAGTACAGAACTTTGGGACAATGACTGATATCCTCTAAGCAAAATTATATTGGCCAAGTGTAAAAAGAGCTCTTGTGCTTGCTGGTTATCTGGACATGTGCCTGTGTGAGGCAGGGTTGTCATTAATAACCTGACCTTAGGCTAAAGCAGACAAACATTACAGAACAGGAGCATCTTTATTGCATTATACACTCAGTGAAAAAAAAAGTTTGAGAACCATTATCTTGGATAAAAGGCACTTAATAGCACACTGCAAAGCTCCAACTTGCCCTTGAGTCATAAAAATCATTCATGCTTATGCACATTTTTGAAGCAATTGCCAAGCTTGACTCATGTGTTACAAAAAACATACCTATAAATGTCACAATATTTTTGACCTACTGTAAATCCACACCTGAGTGAACTGCATGCCACATTCCAAATATGTAAAATAGCAAAACTATCCCAAACTGAATGAACTAGCACTTTTTATAAATAAAATCTAGTTTGTCAGTACATAGGCATGACTGTGTCTAAACTAAACTGTATCAATCCTAGAGGATTAAAAATACTGAATTAATTACAAATAATTTACATTTTAATATTACTGAGATAATAATTTATCTTCTTCTGGTATTCCAGAGAAATGCAAAATCATTGTATTTCTTTTCCATTGCAAAAGTGACCAACTCCATACACTGAATGTGAAACCATATAGAAGAATGGACTCTAACATCTTCCAGATTTTAGAAGGATATCACTTGCATAATAAAAATAGCATTATTTTATATAAAATACAGAAACAATGAAAGGCTAAAATAAGAATCTTTTTGTATCTTTGAACTGTGTGAATTATGATCTGGAACTAAGTGTGACATTTTTATCAATACCCAAATGCAGAACCCATAAGAAAAAATACCCTTATTTGTAATTTTTAACAGTCTTAGAAAATGTCTGGAATGTAAATAATGAAAACCACACCTTGGTTACAATTGAAACAACTGAAAAGAAAAAAAAATATCTCTGACATTCTGACATTCTTGTTTTCTTCCTTTTATGTAATTGTGGTCTAGTGGACTACATACAATTTAAGGATTTTTAGCATTTCCCTCTCAATTCTTTTGATTTTATACTCGACCACCCTTGCATATAGAGTGCTCTAGATCCATTTATCTGGTTGCTGACTAAGAAATCCAAACAGATAACAAGCTTTGGGGTTTAAGCAAACATCAGAATATGTTTTTGACACAGAGGTTAGTTTAAATGTGTGCAGTTACAATAAAATCATGCCTATAAAAGTTAATGAAAAACTGAAGTTAAAATTTAAAAATCCTTCACTGCTCATTTGCTTTTCAGTGAGACCAGGATTTAACAATGTACTGCTTTGTGAGAATACATTTATTGGAGAGATTAAGAATTGATTCAAAGATTAGGAATGCAAAGATCAAAGTAGCCAATGTAATCTTGACAACATAAGTCTTTCAGCAAGATGTCTGAAGAACTGGCATTTGCCTGTTATCCCTGCATATTTGCTTTTATGTCATTGGGTACTCTTCCTAATCAAGCTTGTGGCTCTTTTACATAAAACATCGAACCCCACTGATGAAAGTACACTGCTTTACAGGTTTGCAGTAGACTGTTTCTCTCAGCTCAACAAATCACTTCATACATCTCCAAATGCATTTACTATTCTCTCAATGAGTTCAAATGAAACATTGTGTCAACAATTAAGCCACTGAAGTGCTTAAAAGGCATCAACAACTTGACACGAGATATATTCCCACACAACACTGCACAGACATCAACAGGAGAGAGTGACAGTTTTATCAAATTACTTTTCCACAAGATGATGTTCCAGCAGCTACTCCTACTGAATGAAAGACTTGGTGCACAATTTTAGAATTATGGAAATGGTAGCAGGTGAAAATAACCATAAAGGTTAAGTGTCACCAAATTTAATCTGAAAAGCATGGGATGCACTGGGATATTTCTCTCTATTGATTCTGTTTGTGGGTAACAATGATCTTTTATGAGCTGAAGAACAGACACTATCAGGGCACGGACACTGAAAATAGTGACTGACATGAAGCCAGCATGAACGAATGCAGATGACGAAAGAAAACGTTGCCTACCTCCGCATGCAGTCCAGGGCTCTAATGAAATAGTCCTTGTTAAGTTCGTGCTCGTCTCTCAACAGAGCACACTGCTCCAGTGTGACAGACATGGACGTCCTGTCTTTGGCACTTTTACAGCTGGTGAACCTGATACCATTCAGTCTGCGGCAGATCTAGCAAGAAATCCAAGACTCTTGAGCGATTTAAAAACATAAGCAAGTGGTTTACATGGTAAAATACTAATTTAAGAATAAAAGGTTTTAGAGCTGCACACTCATTTATTTTAGAACATGTAGAATTGCCCCTTGGTTTGGAATCACAGTTGGAATTAATGCTTGGGTATGATTTCTTAAATTAGTGAACTTAATAAAGACCAATTGTCAGATACAGTGATCAACCCTACAAACTCCAGTCACAAACAGGTGAGCTACCAGTGATAGGAGGAGTGGCACATCCCTCACTAATGTCCCTGCATGCCTGCATCACAGGAGCCAAGAAGACTTTCACACACTTGGGCGTTGACTAACACCCACACTCTCTTGGCTGTCTGTCAGTTGTGCACTGCCTCTTGGGATCTCCCTATCACATAGTACTGTATATTATAAAGTAAATAAGGTTTACATAATTCACTTGATTCAATGATTCTCCTGCATTCTGTAGCTGAAATGTGGGTCATACCTGCACTTGTGAATGACAAATAGATGACTTACTCTTTGAAATCTTTTGGGCAGATTTCAAAAGATAATGTTGTTTGTAACCAGCTTGCCATTTTTTTAAGTCTCAATGTAGAGAAGGCTACAGAAGGCATCTTCATATTACCAGTACTGCACTGGAGGTATCATGTCTAACTCAGTTAATGCCAATCACATCAATTTTGTAAAGTAACAGAAACCTCAGTATTGACACTAGGCTATTCTACATGTCGTTCAGGTGGGGAGCTGCGTCAGCATGCGTAGGCTGCAAATGAACAAGTCATATGTTTATTCTATGCTGAAAAGAAAAGAGAGAAAACACAACGTTTTGGCTGTGGAGCCTTTTAATTTCACAGGTGAGATACTGACATGAAGTTCTGGTTTGATCGAGACCTTGTCTATGATTCTTATAAGCTTTGTTCTTTGTTCTATTGACACCCAAAGAAGGCTCCACAGCCAAAGTGTTGTTTTCTTTCTTCTCTTTTCGGTATGGAATAAACCTTTACTTGTTCCTATTCTATATGTCTGTGACTGAAACACTTATACCCCTGGGTAATTACTTTTTTTCACTTCCAGTACATCATACAGCTGCCAGCTTTGATTTTGGCTTTAGACTTTGACAGCTGTGGGGTCAAAAGACTCAGCATCTTGTGTATTGAAAATCCAACTCTGATGACTCAAGGTGCAATGTTCATTTGCAGAAAGTGGCATTATAAATAATAAGGGCCAAATGTAATGCATTCGTTATCTAATCATTGCCAGTACCTTGAGGTGATATTAAAGTCATGAATTTCACCATCATTATTCATTACTTTAAATGCTCAAAGCACAGTTTCAAAGGTGCTTATTGTTAGCAGCTACTTTTATCTTTATAAAAATCATAGTCTCATTGCATGACATTTGTTAAAACTTACATGTGTCTGTAATCAGACAACTAAATGCACTGACATATTCATATATATTGATATACAGTACAAATACAGTTTAAGGTAACATGCAAGCTTATTAACCAATCTGCACTCAGATAAATATAAAACTAAGCATAAGTGCTTGGATGTAAGCACAGTGAGTCACTTAGCCATACATTCATTGTGTGAATCATTGTGGTACAGTGGTTTGTCATTGTCAATGCGATAAATAATATGCATTTTAATACAGCAATTCTAATATTTGGGGTATTTAAGGCAGACACAAAGACTTTTACAGATCCTAACCAATTGATGATCCTTATTTTCTTGGCTTGAGCAAGTGCAAAGCCAGATGGTTGATCCCAAAAATGAACTTCACAATCAGTATTAGTACTTGCTATTTTCATAAAATTGATTTATTCCCAGATGTTATGGATGTACCTATTTACAACATTATAAACTATTGTTTACGTGACAGTCTATGGTGATCTCACTTAAGCAAAGAACATATAATTACTTACATACTGTACAATTAAATATAGAACAAATCAAAAACACTTTTTTCTCTTTGCAGTGTTTTGGCAGCATATTCATCTAGCTGTGAAATGAATTTATTTCTTAGGTAACATCTGTTGATGTCTATCACCACACAGACTTTTGCTGCTGGAATTTTCCGTTTTATTTTCAATGGAATAATTTCTGATTAGTTATAACAAATGTAGCTCTCCATGAGATTTGTTTACAAAAATATATAATTCATTTACATCCTTGTACTTGACATCATTCAATACTAACAACTGGACAGGTCAAAATGCATTAAAAGTCATTAAAAATACAACACTTTTGTGATAAAGGGTTTTTTGTCTGTAACTTAAGTGTTAACAAATTCAACTCACTGAGAACTGTTACTGAAATGTTTTGTTGTCACTTAATTCCATGCTGTGGCATTTACGTTGAAACAAAATGTTACTTTGCTTTAAAACATCAAAAATTCAAGCTTCTTAGGAGTTCATTCCTTGTTTTTCTAAATTCTGAAGGTGCCACAAATAATGAGAAATAATGGGAAATCTTAACAGATTACAAGTTTTCTTTCATCAGGGTATTTTGCACATGTACATGGTAGATTTATACAAGGAATTAGGGAATGATCATTTTTTACAACAACAGAACACTTACTGTTCCAGCAAGCCACAGTATTTCCACATTCTTCCTCTTCTTTGTCAGAATATTCTGCTGAAGAGTTTCAAGTAATTCTTTCAAGTCAGTTTGTGTTTGGAAACAAGGTAAATCTGAAAAAGAATTTTGATATTACTAATCAGTGTGTGGTGTATGATACTTCCTGCCATTTTAACTTAATATTCCAAGAAAATATCTTTGAATGAAGGAAAAGAAAATGAATGCAAGGGAAAATTCCTCTGTTCTGTGTAAGGCTGGTTTTATATTTTTGAATGGCATTAGGCTTTAAATGCTTCTATAGTCTATTTGTAGATAAACAAAGGCTTTGGCATGACTGTATTATATATTGTACATACTGTACTGTGTTCACAATATTAAGCTAACGGTTGAATAAATATTCTCATAGGTTTGTTAAAAGACTTTCCTCTCCTGCAATCATTTGATACTTACATTGCAATGGCACCTTTTCACTTAATAACTTATAATAGCCATCTAAAATTTCAAAGTTTTTCTGGTTTATTCGCTCTTGTAAGGAGATGTCTCCAAACCTATAGAGAAAAGAAAGAAATGTCACAGTATGTTTAACATTTTTAACTGAACACATTTCATAGCTTAACCCAGTTGTACACGTGCTGTTGCTTTAAAGTGTTGTTGAAATCTCCAGATACACCAGCTCTCCAGAACCAGGGCTGCCCACCAGGAGCACATCTTATGTCTAACTTGTGTGAAAATTAATGCTTCAAATACTAACTATGCTTGCCAAAAAGAAGTACTTTATAGTACAACCTCATTCTGTACGGCAGTAAACTTCATTCTTACGAAACAAAGTGTGCTTTTATATAATTTGTCATTATGTTCAGTTACAAATAAATATATTTTGTGCTAATCAAGGTTCTCTGTTCTTTGAACAAGATCAGAATACTTCTGTTACTGTTTATGATCGCTATTCACACTTCAAAGTACAATAAAATAACTCGCTAACATGTAATACACAGAAGTAAAAAGAAATGGGAAAAGTGTACAGTAAATTGATCTAGTAAACCAAAAGTGTTTAAGAGAAGGTCTTTTTTCATAAGGTGAAGGATACCTACCTGGAGGTGAATGAAGTTTGATACTATATTCGGGTTTTTAACACAATGTAACTACGGCTGAACTGAACACAGTGACATTCAACATTAAAATATTGCCCAGCAAACTTATTTGAAAGGAGATACTGTACCTTTCTGCTAGCGTCTGTTGTTGGTTGATCCCAATGTTAAAGAGCACTGGATACACTTGTAATGGCTTGCCTTCTTTGATCTCATTTGGTAATGCCTCAAAAATCTCATGTGGTAATGGCACTTCTACAGTATAATAATCCCTGGTAGAAGGGAAAAAATGTTTGAAATATGTCTGAACACATGAACAAATCTCATTTATCTTTCTAATATTTCATTCCATTTATAACAGTTCGGTGCAAAGAGGCGTCTCATATACTGTATCACGATGTTAAATCTACCAAGAATTTCTACCAAGAAGGCTCATTTCGTTACATCAAATGCAAGTTTGTGTTTGGTAGCTTCGGCTCAACCCACTCGACAGCTTCGAGCAAAAGCAGAAGTGCTTTCAAAAAACAGCTTTTATTGCATATCAAAGTTAGGTAAGATTAGTACTTGTCCTTATAGAAATAATGCAACAGAAAAACAAAAAACAGATCATCTGCACAACTGACACTCCTGAAAGAAAAAAAAAGTAAAATAAAATTGTAAATGAATCTGAGGCAAGTATGCAATCTTAAAACAGAGTGTATATGTTCAATATGACAGGTACCAAACATTTTACCGGCAAGAAAAAGTTTTGCCTTGTTATCATTCTCCTGCTTCCTTTGCTGCTCATTTTCCTCCTTCACACAACTGTGGTTGAACCAGATACCTAGAAATAGGAGGAATGCATCACTTCTGATCACCTCCTCAAGGATCACTTTTTGTCTTGTCTTTTACAGGCGGAGAAGACATTCTATTTCTCTGTCACCTCATCAGGGTCTAACACTGCTGAAGTGTATGGAGGAGGCTGGCCTGCTCCCCTCCGCACAAAGGAATCCTCTGCTACAGGGTGTATAGAACAGAGCTGCTTTTTGTTTCTTTTGCATTTAGAAGAGCAGTCCATTCATGACAATTCTGAGCCAGAGAGTGTGAATCTGGATCCATATCAGAGCTTCTGATTCCATTTCAAAGAGGCCTTTTAAAATGTCAACAGCTCGCCATTAAACACTTTTTTTGGGGAGGCATTTATCTGGTCACGTGGCTCGCCGATTCCAACTGCAACAGATTCAAAGTAGCAAAGACTCTGGGCACAAGGGCATGACAACCCTTGTCAGCATCCAAGTTCCAGTTTTTTTGTACTTTCATCTAATCCACAGAAGTTTCTTCAGGTTGTTCCAGAGAAATGGATTTAGTTTCAAAGCATGGTGCTGGGAGACCGTCCAGGTTTCAGAAACATACAGTACAGCAAGGTTGGGAGTACTATTGGTCCACAGATTTTCAGCTTTAGGGGCAAAAAAGCCACACCTGCCTTAGCTTTTCTGGTATTTACTTAAACGTCAATGTGCCAACTTTGTGAGAGCTTACTGCCAAGGTAGGTAAACTTCCCCTTAACAGGGAGTTCTTAGTCGTTGACTGTTACACCTGGCTCGCAGTGGGAGTTTCCTTTCCTGGAAACATTCCCCTCAATTTTTTTTACACACTAAGCAAACTGGAGTGTCTCAGTAGCACAAATATGTTTGTATCAATGCACTGAGTAACTTGAGCATTCTTGAAAAATATATTAAAAATTGATTGTTCACTTGTAACCTAGTCTAACTTCATTTACAATGGCATAAGAATAATTCAAATTTGAACACTTAAATTCTATTAATGTATTAATGTTTGCTTAAATCCTACATTTATACACTGGGCTTACCGAACAACATAACTTTGATGTTTTTTTTTCAGTTCTCAAATAGCAGATTTTGATTAAATGACCAAACAACACTGCACTTCCAAAGAAATAACTAGTGAAATAAAAACATACTGGTATGGTGAATTCCAAGCCATGAACCACAAAGTCAGTCAGCGTGTCACCTTAATACATACTGTATGCATTTGAGTGGTCTGTCACTATCTTGTAGATGTACAGTCAAAGACGCCTGCACAGTCCACTATTCAGTCGCTTGCCCCACAGAGCTTTTCAGTAGCAAAGTCACCTTTTGTTTCTTCCTCCACTCTTCAAATCAGCTCTTCTATTCTCAGTCAATCGCTAATCACCTTTCATAATGATACACTGCAGCCTTATAAATTAAATACTAGAATATTCGACCTAAGTAATTCTGTGCTGAAAATCACCTTTCACCTAGTCATCTTTCTCTAATCACATTCCACCTCCTTTGCTCTCACACCCATTAAACCATAAAAAATCTGGATTAAAATCAAATAAAGCACTTACTCAGACATATATGTGTTTTATGTGTTTCGCTTCTAGAGATTGACATCTTTCCAGGTTGCTCACAATGATGTGTAGCAAGCTCTCACATAACTGTAATGTTATGCTTTTCAATCTATTTTGTAGAGCGGAATTGCTTCTTATTCATCTTCTAACCGTTTTCTCGGCAAGCAATGGGTACAAGACGGAGTGCACTCTGGACAGGACGCCGGTCCATCACAGGGAAGACACAGACACGCAGAGACACAAGTTTCCCAGAAGTCAATTAACCTGCAATTACGTCTTCGGCCTGTTGGAGGAAACTAGTGCACCTGGAGGGAATCCACGTGAACAAGGGAGGAACATACAAACTCCATGCAGATAATACCCCAGGAGCTGAAACCAGTGCCACAGTGCTGTGAGGCAGCAAAGCTAACCACTGCACCACCTTTGCCTTGTACACGTCAGCTAGAAAACAGAATTAACTAGCGAATGATAATGATTAATGGAACCTTGCTAGAATTGCACAGATACTGTATCTCTGAGATTTTAAGAGCCCATGAATCATTCAGCAAAACCGCCATCTAGTGGACAGCAAGTTTTTTTTACTGAACGCTACTGGGAGAATTCACTTTAAATGTACTAAAACTGACAGATGGGTACACTCACCAAGGTTAGTATTATTTTATGCTTCAAAAAATAATTGTTCTGCTACTTGCTTGACCTAAATATGATTTCAATGTAATTAATCTAATATTAATGATAAATCTGGAATGCTCATTTACTCTGTATGACAACTTTTAAATCAAGTACTGCAAAAAAAAAAGAATAATAATAAGTACAATAATTTCAAACTAAAGATCCTTAGGCCATTAATGTTAGCTTAGATGAATTCCTGTCAATTATGACTTCAGTAACTAGGAATGAGTATTCTTCGTGTCCCAAAAAGAACTTTTCAGCATGTTAATTCACTTTCCATTATGATATTTCTAGTGATATTGTTCTATACTGTATATTTGTCGAGAATACAGGGCTCTGCAGACATTTCCTCCATACAGCTCTGTGTGTGTGATCCTATTTAACCTCCTTGTCCTGTCTGTGTGTGAGTTAGGATGGCAAGTGAGGGTGTGCTGTCTTGTCGGCACCTGACATCAGAGAAATTTCTTGTAATTTCCACAGCAGAATACAGTTTCCTCTATACTGTAACAATTCTGGTATCCTTGAAATAATTGGGGATTACATCTTCACTGTGCACCATGCTTAAATATTTCAAACCCCACTGTTTTGTTGTTCATTTATGTGAAGGCTTTCGTCCCCTTATTATGAGTTGGCAGAGCTCCAAGCTCATCTCTAAGTAGAAGTTGTGAGATGGAACTGAGGACACTTTTTTTGACAGTGGATTTTTGATTGCACACACAGACACAAACACACATACTCACACCAGGGACAATTTTCACCAAAGCCAATACACCTACCAACATGTCTTTGGACTTTCTAAGGAAACTGGAGCACCTGAAGGAAACCAACCAAATTAACCCAGAGGCCCAACACCTGTAGGCAGTTATGATCTCTATGTAGTTAAATGATTCCCACAGCTCTGGAGTGACAATATTCAACAACTCTTACCGCCTTCCACTGACAACAGGCTGCAGATCACTAGGATCCTCAGACTTTGCTTCTGTGATTTTGAATGTCACTCTCTGCAGATCTGAAATGCCAACTTCCATATCCTCCAGCATTCCAATTTCTTCACCTAGACAAATAAAAGATCACTGTTATGTCTAACATAATGAATAAATTATCTTTCGTCTTCATAATTGGCACATGTTTCACTAAATGCGATTTTTGCACTGACAATGTGGTCTAGTCCTTACATATCCAAGAAGGAAAATGTGGCACCAATGGATATCAAGACAGGACATAAAAAATGCATATTAAAAAACAACTTATTTATAATACAAAACATAAGATTACTGCTCATCTGAGTGTTTTTGTGGTGGAAAACACACAAAATAGACCTGACTGGCCAAGAAGACTCCAGGGCAAATTCAAGTTTGGGATCTCTCATGCCTACAATGAATGGAGGCTTATTGTTATGTGTTATATTTTGTAATATATTTTACAATAAATCTAAGTATTTATCAAGTGTGAGAAAACTGCAAAGAATTGTGAGAAAATATTTAGAATGGTTGATGGTTGACAATACCCCATTGAAAATAATCAAGTCAGATGAAATGAACCCCTGAGGTTTGCAAAATGGTAATTAGATATTTTTAAAACCCATCACTATGGCTTTACACGGAACTGGTACGGTTCTCAGAAAACTTTTAGTTATGTGAACAAGTGTTTACATGACTAGACTAAATGACATGACACTAAAATACAGCAAATCACTAATTAGATAAGAGTAACACTCAATCCTGACAACCCCCAGTAATTTGTTTGGCATTAATACTAGTAATGTTGACATTTTCCTTTACCAAGCAGGAACTTCATATAATCTTAAGACGAAATCTTAAGTCATTTTTATTTCCTCTGGCACATGATGTACCGCACACACAGCAGATGTACAAACAAAATGTGTTTCCAATATTTCAATATAGAATTAGCAAGCCATAAACTGGAACTGTCTGCTTGTATAAGAGGTTTAATGGTTTGTGCATCTATTGATTAAAATGCTCAAGCATCCCCAGGCTCAAGCAGGCTGACCTTTTTACAATTTTGAGAAAAGAAACAAAACATCTCCATAAATATAACAAGTACTTACTTTGAATTAGAAAACTCTTAACAGTGAGAAGCGTGAATTTATGGAACAGGGCTTTAAAAAATTCTAATTAGTAAGTTGTCTCTCTTCTTTACTGCCTGCTCCAGTAAAGTAAACAGAGGTTTATTTTTTTTCCTATGAATATCATCTTCATCTTCTAAATGCTTACATCTGGTGAGGTTCATGGAGCCAACAGGCTGAGCAGGACAGACCACACTGCCCTTTTCCCAACAACAGTCTCCAGCTCCTCCTGAGGAGATATTGTCACGGACGTCCAAAGGGACTAACCGTGGGGAGTAGGAGAGCGGAAAAAGACCCATATGCGTAGCGGCGAGACGGGAAAAAGGCCCAGGCTCATTAGTGCAAAGAGTTCACGAATGCCGTATAGAAACCTATGCCCTCAGGGAGCGGACGTGGGGTGCCCTGGTACTAGGCGGGTCTCAGGAAATCTGAACATCAATGCTGAGCGAGGACAGACTGCAAGACCCGGAAATATATAGCCCAAGGGAAAGAGAGGGGGACAGGAAGGACAGGAGACCGGAAACCAGGGACAGGACAGAGAGGGAGCGCCCTCTGGCTGCAGAGGGCGTGACAGATATAATCCCTCCAGCATATCCTGTGTCTGCCCTGGACTCTTTTCCCAGTGGGCTTTACCCAGTACACCAGTGGGAGGCACCTGGGGAGGACTGGCTCCTCTCGATCCAAAAGAGCATTGAATGCACTCTGCGGTTCTCCCTGACTGTTGAGCTCCTCACCCTGGCATGAAGAGTAAGCCCAGCAGCCCTGCAGAGAAACCTAATATCTGCCACTTGTACCTGTGATCTCAGTCTTTTGGTCACTATCCAACGCTCATGACCACAGGTGAAGATAGGGATGAATTACTAGGGGGAAAATACCTTTCCATAGCACTAGTTATTATGTTGTCTCTCACATCATATTTTCATATTTTCTTTACTTATGCAACTTTTCAGGTCTGGTCTAAGAGTTTGTGGCATCAATAGGCCCCGATACTCACTGTAGGTGCTGAGCAGGCTTTCAAACTGTGCAATCAGCCCAACGAGATGAAGCTGCTGCAGGAAGCCTTTGTCCTTGAGACCCGCGTAAAGTCGCATTACAAACCCACAGGCCAAGGCAGCAAGCTGAGTGGAGAAGAAAAAACAACTAATCAGCAGAAGTAACTTTATTCAGAGGACGCCTGGTGGATAATTTTGTAGTATAATGATAAACTATGATGAAATAACTGTGCTACAGAATTAACACATGACTGTTCTTCAGAGGGAGACTGACTTGCATAGTTGAATTTCTTGATTTCACTTAAAATGTTAATATACAGTATACCCCTGTCTTTACAATAGAAGACAATAAAGATTTCTTAGTTTTATGAACACAAAGGTAAAGTGGGACAGAGGCAAGGATTCTGTCCTCACGGCTTCATTACAACTAATCAACACTAAACTGTTGGTGTTAAAATGAGGTTTTCTAATCCATACACAAAAGCACAAAATATTTGACAAGAGTGGGTACATGGAGGGATACTTGATCTGAAGCAGGAATTAGTGACTAAGAAAACAGAGGACAAAATAACTGTAAAACAACATAGAGCCAATCAATAAATAACTCAGTACACTCAACCATTAATTATCAGAAAACCACTTATTCTTGGTTAGGGTCACAATAATTCTTGCCTGGAAGCATGGGAGTGCACCGTGGTAGGAACACCAGGCCATTAATTCATAAATACATACAGTAAACAAAAACATATACACTGAGTTCAGAAACACCAGGCGGCATTTTGAAATCTGAAGTAATATAAGAGTACAAACTGAGAAATGGGAAAACATTATCAAGAATAACACAAAAGATGAGGTGCTCCTGTTGCAGAAAATAAAAGCACAGCAATAATATTCAAAGGAACAGGTAATGGGTTTATTCCACACCCGAAGAAGGCTCCATGGCCGAAACATTGTGTTTCCTTTCTTTTCAGCATGGAAAAAAACCCGTTACCTGTTCCTTTGCAGCCTACAAATGCTGACCCAGCTATCTTCTTGAACTAATAATATTCAAATAAGAGTATTTGGGAAACAGGAAACTTTCTCCTGCACAGAAGCATTTTATTAGGTGAAAAGGCATTTGAAAGCTTAAGAGGATATTTATGCAGTGGCTGAGGCTCATTTTAACTGTTATTAGGGTGCCAACGGAAATGAAAATTACAATAATTACAGATGGTATTATAATAAAGTGATTATATTAAGTGCAATTATTAATTCAAAGACTGCAAAAATATGTTGGTGTTTTTCCATTTTCATAGACCACTTGTTAAAACAAAGTCTTGGGTTAAAGCATGATTCAGTCTTGCACAACCTGGTAGCAGCCTGATTTCTACCTGGTTGTACAGTCGACGGGGTGGAGTTAGCGCCATTAAGGGCTGGAACACCGTGCAAGAAGAAAAGAAATGCATTACTCAAGATAAGCAGATAAACAATTAATTGTTTATCACAATAATTTGACCTCTTCTCTACAAAAACAAACTGAAAAAAAGCTGGTTTCAAGCATTATGAATTATTTCATAAATGTTCCCATCATGTTCCCATCATGTTTACTTTTCTTTTTTTCTTACTTAGACTTCACAAGAAGAGGCAAATGTACTGTACTGTATATACTGTAACTATGAGGAAAAAATAAGTGTTTTGAAATCTCATAATAAAAACAAATAATAGTCCCCTTTGGAACTGCAAAAGACATTCACTGGACATTATCCTCTTTCACCCACTATATTTTTCAGGCACACTATGACCCTAGTTGACGTTCTCCCAGTGTCTATATCCTGCATGATTCAGAGAGCTTCACTCTCTGGAAGAATGCCGAATTCACAAGCTAAACTTCTGCAGTTATTTTTGCAGTTCTTCTGATTTATTCTTTTAGTCTCCCCCAGTATTTCCTCCTTCTCTGCTTTATGTTTACATGAGGTCTGAGTGGCAATGCAAAAACTAAGAGTGAAACTTTCTAAAAATGTATTGAATGCCTTCAGCTACAATACCACATTAATGCAATCAAAAGAATCATGAACAGTGGTCTGTCCTGGTAGCTTTCTTACGTCCTGGTTTGTTGTCCTTTGTGTGGTTTCTGTTATAGTCTTTTCTTCTGTCATATAGGTGTACCACTACGTTCTGATCCATAGAAACTTTGCTTTTTCTCTTTTAACCAGGAATCTTAGGAATTAGTGTTACAGTATTTCTTCATATATAACATTCACCAACAGGTGGGTACATAAACTTTGATGCTAATAAAATGAATACCCCTGTTGAAAGATTTTCTACATGTCTTGCTCCCATACAAAACTTCCTCCATTTTCACTCTCACAATACAGCCCATTTTAAATCACAAAATTATGTTTAAACATGTCTTCAGCTTTACTAGTGTCTTTATATTTTAATAAAATGAGAAAATTGAATACATTTAGACCAAAAAGCTTTGGGAAGCCACTAGAACTGTATATTATAAATTTCATATTACATTGATATACAATAGGGCCTTCACATTTGTGTGAACCGTTGGAAATAGCCAAATTCACATATGCTGTAGCAAAGTCCACCCCATACTGTTGCATAATGCACTACACTATAAAGTGTGTATGGTTAAACACATAAATAACCCTTCATTATATGATAAGAACAGTATTAATGGACTGGCATTAAGTTAATTAAAATAACATTAAATTAACAGTCTTCGCAAACTTATAGTAGTCAGCTAAAATAAACAAGATGAATCCCTTCTCTGTGTCCAGTGGATGCCTCTGTGATTAGCATGCCCCACTGTAATGAAAAACTGTCAGAGAGCCTTTAAACTCATCTCTAGCCTGTCATTCCTCGAGCTGCCGACACAGAACCTGCAGCGATTGGTAAAAGACAAAAACAAGACCAAGCTGAGAAGTGGAGATGGGTAGTGGATACTTGGGCAGACAACCTTTGACTCTGTTTTATCCTGTTCTGTTTTCCATCCATACTGTATAAGATCCTGTCAGCCAGGACAAATTGCAAATAAGCAATTTTGGGTGAATTTTCATTTGTTGAGACCCTACGGTATTGTTAAACCTTTTTTTTCCATTTCAGAAAAAAATCATATATGGAGAGAATGCTGATTTTTATTATTATTATTTTCATGAAGCCAATAGTGGTAAGAGCACCAGCTATGACAAATAACACACATATAGAGAGAGAAGAGTGGTTTAAACATCAGCAGGTTTTTAAGCACACTGTATCACTGTCATCCAGAACAGTCAGTTCTGGCCAGCATTATGTGGGAAGCACCTACTGCTTGGCTGAAGACCAAATCTCGTCTCTGCTTGAGCAACAGGCCTTGAGGAATACTGCAGGCTGCCTCCTGCAGCAGAACAAAAGTCATGGATTTCCGGGCTCGATCCACCACTTCTGTGACACAGTCCTTCAGTGTGACCACTAGAGGGTAGAGCTGCTCCTGCCAGTCCCCTTGAAGAGCAAACACAAAATAAGGCTTTGGTGACTACAACTGCTTTAAGCTGTGCAGTCATGACAGTAAAAACAGCATCCTGCACCACAACCGGTTAAAGATGTTCAAAACAGATCCTATCATAAACTGTGGTCAGGCACCATACCCATAAAATAAATCAGAACAGCATCCACACATTGAACCTGCTTGCTCAAAGAGTGGTTCACTGCTAAAGCTTTTCTTATACCATAATAGAGTACATGGAATCATAATAAATGGAATTCACATCAAAAGACTGACCTTAATTTACAGAACTGAATTTCCTTAGATTCACTGGTAATTGCTTATTTAAAAATGTCCTTTTCTGTTCACTGAGGGGTTTCAGTGTGGTTTAACCCAGCTAAGCCTAGAAAGATCTTTATCTCTGACATTGTTTTCTGTGGAAGAGATTTAGACAATAAAAGGCTATGGATAATAAATTAATAATTTAGACAGGGGTTTACCAACGGAAGAAAGACACTGCTCTATATTAAATAGAAATAGCAAGGAATAGGCAACCGTGTTTAAGGTATTAGCAGCACTTAAGATAAAAACAAATCGGCAGGGGTTGATACTAATAGGGTCTAACAGCGGTACATAAGGTAACAAGAGATGCTATTTATTGGCCATTAAAAAACAGTCACTCAAGACTTTTCCTATTGACTACACAATTGCTAATGTACTGTAACTTTGACTACAATAATACATGATTTGGGTTCCACTCAAACTTATAGTCAAATGGAGACACTCTTGAAGTTGGTTTAAATTTGATAAAGTTACCTTTTACATAGAAGATTCAAATTTCCCCAGCTGTGGTCCATATTCCAAACCAGTTCACCTGAGACTGTGGCTTTCTAAATCAGCAGGGCACAGTGATTTAAAATTGTGTTCTGGGATGGCCGCTAGTGGTCATTTTCTGTAATTACTCCCTTAAAAACCAGGCCATCACAATTTAATTTAGATTGCAATTTTGGTCACCACATTACCAATAAGTATTGCTGCTCTAGAATCAGTCCAAAGAACGACTAGATACATGGGCTGAAATGAATATCCTACACTGACAGGGTTAAAGAATCAATCATTTTCAGGTCTGAAAGGATAAGATTATAAAAGAAGACCTGATTCAAATATTCAGATTCATCAAAGGCACTTACAAAGCCAACTACGACATGCTCAGAATTATTACTGAATGTTCTGACATGTAGAATGTATTGCTACACTTTCTAGTCCCATGTGAATAGGTGATTTCAAGCTATCTCCTCTATTTAGAGTTAAAATGACTAAACTATTACCTGTAGAATGCACAAAATACTGTTATTAAAGACTTGGCTGTCGTTCACAGCACTTTAGTCACAAATTACAACAAACCTAACATAAATAAGTACCCCTTGGAAGATTGATACCACATTTTCAATTCAAATGAAACGCAAGAGTGTGACCTGTTTGAAGTTCAAGAGCTATGATTTCTATTCTTCTTTGTCAGACAGGATCACTCAATTACTGTAAGTTTCAAAGAGTCCGCATCACGAATGACATGAAGTCATATGCATATACTCAAGACTGTTCCCACCTGACAAGATGCAGCCTGTGGAGTGAATAATGAGAGAGCTCCTGTGTTCTCTGGAGCTGTGGAGAATTTGAGTGGTACTGTACATTTTCAGCCCTCACTCACATTTCCAGTATGATGCCTTGATGCCTGAACAGCTCCAGTCCTGAAGAACCGCAGTATCAGCAGGTTTTCCTTCCTGCTTTTATTTTAATAATTGAGCAGATCATTTGCTTAATTTTACCAGTTTAACACTTTTCAAAGCTATTGATAATTTAAGGAGACCTAGAAAACCTGCTGGATTTTGGCCCTCAAGGCCTGCAGTTGTGCTCCAATGCTCTATGCTGTGCTGTAGCACGGCGCTGGCAGTCTGGGTCTTGAAGGGCCAGTGTGTCTGCAGATTTTCTTTCCTGCTCAGCCCTAAGCCTACATTAGGAACAGGAAAAGGTTTATTCCATGCTGAAAAGAAAAGAAACAAATGTTTCAGCTGTGTAGCCTTCTACAGTTGTTTCAAGATGTATGGAATTAACCTTTACCTGTTCCTTTGAAGCCTATGTATTGCTGATGCAGTTGGGTACTTGGATATCTTAATCTATATTAGCTCACTATTGGCTAAAGAGAACCAACGTGACAACTTTTCTCAGCAATTCAGGTGCAGGTGGTTCAGAAAAATCTAGAAAGACAGCAGACACACACTCTGACCCTCCAGAACCAGGACTGCCCACTCCTGCTCTAAAAACTAATAACTATTAGAAGTGAAAGAGTGGTCATTAATTATCTGTGTGGCCTACTCACTCCTTGCCATTCACCTGCACACTTGAAGAAATTTCTTTCAGTTGTGGCACATCCTCATTTGGAAGCATCCTGCTATTTTCTAGTTAATATATACTGTACAGTAGAGAAGAGCAAGTGCATCTCTAGTCTAGATTCAGGTGCTGGTGTGTCAAAAAAATCTAGAAGAACTGCAGACACACAGGGTCAGAGGGTTTGAGGGTCAGAGTGTGTGTCTAGAAGGACCAGCACCTGAATATAGACTACAGATACCACTCTAACCTCTGCTTTACCAGCTATTTTTCACACAACCGCTGTAAAATCTGTTGGAAAATGTTTTCAATAGATTTATCTAAATATGAGCCACTCTCCATTCCTCTACTCCTCTCATCCTCTATTCCTCCACAGGAATATTTCATTTGGAAATGTCAAATACTTGAGTAACTAAAAGAAATCTAACATGCAGCTATCCTAGTACAGTATACTGCATATTTCTTTTAAATAACTTCATTTTATAAATTAAATTAATCCTTATCTGCCCTTTTACCAGATTTGTTTTTTGGTTACAGCAACCTCATTGACTTGAAAGGGGACAATACATTTTTTTTAAAACTCACCCTTTCATAAAAGTCCAAGTTTACATCTAAACACCTACACATAAAAAAGCAGAATGCGAATTAAATGAAAGCATCGAATCACATACAGATACAGTATATGGTTTAGAGTGAACTTTTTGCTTTGCACCAGAAACGTTTGTTTGCTAACTGGCTTATAAACTGACACAAAACCTTCTCCTCTAATGGCTTTGAGAGACTGTCTATTTATCTAATTTCCTGTAATTTGCTGATAAGTACTCTTGTTACTAATAGTGTTAAGTTTGCTACTTAACATAGACTTTGCAGCCAGCCTCTCTCTTATTACACCACTGAAAAGCAGAAGTGACACTGGACCATCCCTGTGAACTAAGGCTCTTACACCTCACTTCACAAGTACTACAAAAAGCCAGCCTTGTATTTCTACCAGGTGCTATGCTTCCTTAAAAATGTAATATGAATAACAAGCTATTTTTGTTATCGCTGGACTTCAAAACAACATAGAAGCAAACTTCTAAGTAGATGATGAAAGTTAAACTCAGTTAAAATTCAAGGACTTGACCAACTGTATAGTACCTACAAGAATTAGTTTACTTAACCACAGTTTAAAACTTCATCTAATGGTTCTGTTTACAAGCATTGAAATGTTTATACTATACTGCAAGGAAGAACAGGTTTCCTTTCTACTTTATTAAATTTCAAATTGTTTTTGGTCAAGTATGATGTATTCCTGCATTACGGGAGAAGGAAAAACTCAAAGAAAGCACCTATTTGTACTGGATGAAAGAAAGAAAATATTCATGTTTTCTTTATGTCTAATTTATGGACAATTTTAATTTATTCTGAAATGATGGCCAACATGTTATGGATTTATTTGAATTGTAATTACTTGACTGCTCAGGCTTTATATGACTAAATTTACAAAAAAAAAACATTCATAATTTGAAAACAGTGGACTTGGACAAAATCAATTTGAAAATGCAGTTTTATAAATATAAAGAGCTATTACTTTTTAGTAATTACTAAGCAGATACAAAATGTTGCTCAAATACTGTATAAAAATAAGTTCAGATGAAACAATGGTGAGGCAGGCAAACAGAAGTGCAATGTCTGTGCACTAAACAAAGTGTAGGTGAGGAAACTTTGATGACAGTAAAGAAGGAATGCCACTGAGCGGAGAGCAGTATCGATCAGTGGTAGAAGTTCACAGCCGTGTGAGACGGATCACAAGTGTTGGCTAAATTGATGTATCTTGAGGAGATGCCAAAATGAGTTCTGATTTCAGGGGGTAGTTTATTCTACTAGTAAGGATTAGGGGACAAGAATGAACAAGCCCTGGTGGTGGGGGAAAGGAGATGAGGAACAGTTAGTTCTCTGGAAAGGATGAGCGGAGAGATCAGGAGAGATGAGGGACTCAATCAATTCAATTAGAAAATGATCAAAACACTTGTTAAATGTGTTTTTGCAGATTCCACATATATAAAAACTCAAAATTACAGAAGCAGTGTTTACTGTAGGTTTGAGCATGCTATTAAATCTGCACAGGTTTTAGTTTGAGAAAAGTGGACTATGTTAAATAGCCAGCAGAGGGCGATGTTATCCAGATCTACAGTACTTTGCCAGCTACTGTGTTATTCTGCATTTTGAAGATAATAGCATTGTTAAAGTATTTAACAGCACACGTTTTCCAACAGACAGGGAAAAGAAACATAGTTTAATACCTGCTGTTAAAAGAGCCCTTTTGATGATATGTAATAGGCAGTTTTTACCAGGAATTTAAACAGCAATTTACAGCACATTTGCAAGCTTTTTTTTCCTGTCCTAGCCAAGTTAACAAGCTACTTCCACACAGTGAAATAAAGCAGAAAGAAAAATTAAAATCAAACCTGGATCCTCATATGTCATCAGAAAAAGTTTTTAAAATATTTTTAAATGAAAACAATGATCATTCCCTCTAAAAACTCTACATTCTGAAACTTTCACTACTAGTCCAAATGTAAAATGAATTTCTATTATTGTAGTAGAGTGCTTCATATAAGTGTTAGATAAAGACTTATTCACACATTGTTTTCAGTCTCTGCATTATTTCTGGCTTTTTGCTTTACCCATTTTAATCAGAATGCTGTCATGTGTAGAGGGGTCTTTTTGGCTGAGACCAAGTTTTCATGCAAAGCCATCACTTCATAGAAACTGCCTGCTAGGAAAACGCTGACTGTGGTCTAAATTAATGAACCCAAGATTTATTTGTTTAAAATATGTTCCCAACTCAATAACATTAATTGCATACATGGAATTTGCTATTTCACATTTTCAGTTCTGAACTAGCATGTTTCCTATAGAGATAATATATTATCTTACTTTTAAAAATATCCCAAAAATAATATATTTATGCTAAAATTATAAATGAACATTTAATCAATACAACCAAACAGTTCAGTCTCACTTTTTACCTGACAATAACTGTTACAGAAAAAAAAGTCCTCCTCCTGCAATAACATTAGTACACCTGATTGAAGTTGCAAAGTAATTTTTATTGAAACATCTAAAAAAACAAACATTTACTTCTTATAGATTTCAGCCATAATTCAAATAAATCCATCAGTGAGAAGGAAACAAATTCATTTTTACAGCACATATACCTAAATATAGGCCTAGTTTACTTACCTGTTTTTAATGTTAACTAGTGGATTCGCTAGACGTACATATTTGCCAGAAGAAATACATATATTTCATACAAACCCATACAGGAGTTAATTAAACAGTCAGTCAATCAATTCATCCACCCACCTATCCCCTTTTTATCTATCCAGCCATCCAACCTCCCACTAATCAACCAACCTATCCATTGAACAATT